GGAGGGGGGCAATATACAGGGAGGGAGAGGGAAAGGGAAAAACCATTTAATGTGCAGGTCCATAGTTTTTTTTGGGGGGGGGGGGGGGGGGGGGACCCAGAGCTGACAGGCAAGTATCCAGGTCACCAAGGGAGGGCAGGAGGAACTGAGAACAGGGACCTGCTAGCAACCCGCCCATCCCCCACTCCGTTGTTGAGCCACCCACACTGCCTGACACCATGGCGGTGTGACACCTCCAGCCGCCAACCCTGTACTGTCACCTGTGGTTCCCGGGCTCTTCCAGCTGTCACACTGTCTCCTGCAGCCACCTGGCAGCTGCCCAGGGTGACCCACACTGACCACCACCACAGCGGTCCTAATACCAAAACCTCATCGCCAGCGAGTCGATTCCGACCCTTAGTAACACCCCCCACGGGGACTTCTGAGACGACAACCCTTCACGGGCGCAGTCTCATCTTTCTTGTTAGAAGCAGCTGATGGGTTTGAATCTGACCATTAACAGCCAGACAGTCCACTGCAACGCCAGGTCTAGACCCTCAAAACAGACCTTCACCTCTTCACATGCCCCAACAGGACTGCCCCCCAGCTGCAGGTACCCCCCAGCTCTGGTAGAATATGCGCAGAATGCTCTTGGGGGTCACACCCCACACGCAGCCCCCTAGAGCTACCCTCACCAAGGCACAGAGACAAAAGTCAGTATCCAAGAGGGTGGGCCCAGGTTTGTGGACATTTGGGCCTTAACAGGACCGCATGCAAATGAGCATGCAAATAAGCTGCCTAATACCAAGGCATTCACTCAGGCCACGCCCCTTGCCCCAGGAGTCTAGGGCAGTGGGTGACTCCCATCCCAGCCAGGGATGCTTAGGCCAGCCCAGGCAATCAGGGGTTAACCCAAGGGTTCCCCCTCAATCGCAGCCTCCTTCACACAGACCAGGTCCAGGACAGGATCCCAGACAGAACCCCAGGAAAATCTGGGGTTCAGAATCCACAGGTCTGCAGTAGTCTGGTCAGATGTGATGGCCGTGCTACTGTGGTGATAGGGATGGGAATGGGGGGCAGCTCTGACCCACACCCACCCTGGACACTGGCTCCACGGTGTCTCTGCAAATAGGAAGCCGGCCTCAGCAAAAGTTACAGAAACACCAGCTGCCAGACGATGCCGCCGCCAAGTCAGGTGGTCCCTCCTTCCCCGCACCCTGCGAGCTAACCAGCCCCACAGTCCCGACAGCCCGGAACCCACACCCTCCCTCACCCTTTCTACAGGAGAGCACCCTTGGCAGGCATAGCCTCTGGGAGACAACATTAGGCCCGTGGCCCTATAAACCCACCGCAGCCCCTTGAGGGCAGAGCCCCTGGACCAGGGGTGGGGGGGCATGTCAAGGTGGGCAGCTGAGCCTGGAGGGGAGACCCGGGGGGAAGAGGAGACACCAGCGGCCCAGCGCACTGCCAGCCCGCATCGGGATTGAAGTCCCAACGGTGGGCAAGGTGCAGTGCCCAGGGATAACCTGCCGGGAGCGCACGTGCAAGAGCTGTCCCTGCCCCAGAAAGGAAAGAGGACGCGGGACAGTGGCTCGTAGTCAGAAAGGCCGCCCTCCCCGACAGCAGAGACCCTCCCCAGGGCCTGGTCCTGCCCCAGCCTCCGTGCTCTGTGACAACAGCGACCCCGCCCGGCCGGAGTAGCTATCACCAGTCGTTGTCCCCCCCCCGGGTCCCCTCTCCCGGCCCCCCGGCACTCACCCAGAAGAGCAGGTTGAAGGCGAACATGAGGTACTTAACGCACTGGAGGCAGCCGCGCGCCATGCCGCAGCGCTTCAGCTCTAGAAGGAAGATGAAGGACAGATCCAGGTAGAAGACCACGTACTTGTTGCCCTTGGGCGACGTGTAGCGCGCCTGGGCCGCCTTGGGGCCGGGGTTCGCGTGCAGGCCAAAGAAGGGGCCGTCTCCCGTGCCGCCGTCTCCGCCGCTGCCGCCGCCGCCACCACCGGCGCGCCCATACAGGCTGCTGTAGCGCCGGAAGGGGCCGCCGCGCGCGAAACCCGGTTCCTTGCCGTCCGGCGAAGGGCTGCGGCGGTACGTGGACTCGTCCGTACTCGAGCGGCGCATCGCGCCGGCCCCGCCGCCTGGCGTCTGCTCCGGCCGTGCTCAGCGCCCCGCGCCAGCCCCCACCACGAGCGACCCCATCTCCATGGGTCAGCGCCCACCCCACTCCCGCGCCGGCCCAGCTCCCGCCCCTGGGCGGAGGGCACCCGGACACCTGCCCCGGCCGGCCAGCAGCTGCCAGAGCTCCCGGCGCCCTCTCCCTCGCAGCCCTGAGCACCTAGCGGCCCGGCCCCTTTCCCGCCTGGCCAATCCGCACCAGCCCCGGGCGCGCCGCCGCTCCCCCGCCCCACCTCCGCGCGGACCCCTCCCCTTCCAACGCCGCCGCGCCGAGGCCCAGCGAATCCGGCCGAGCTGCCCATGGTCTACCAATCCAAGCCCAGGGGCAACGCCCCCGCCCCGCCCCCTGCGCCCCTTCAGGCTTGCCGGCATCCCTTGCTTTCTCAGAACCTCACAGAGAGTGGGGCGGAGGATGGAACGTGTGTGGGTAACGCGGGTTAAGGCCAGAGCAGGTCTCCACGGGGGAACCTGTGACCGATGCTCACAGGCCTGTGTGTTCCCAAGCCGTTCCTACCCAGGCCACCTGGAGACCTCCACCCATGCAAAGGGCAGACAGGACACTACACATGCAGGAGTGACCCAGTTGCTGTCTAGTAGTGACTTGGGGTAACTCCAGCTGTGCACCCCATTCCACACCTCCACCCCATGGAATGGGAGCCCCAGGAGACTCCCTGGGATATACGCTCCCCAACCAGCCTCCACTCCAACCTGGGCTGGGCGCCCAAGATCCTGAAAGTCCCAGTGGACTGCACCCAACCCAGTGGGGACAGTGCTTGGGAAAGGCTGGAGTGAGGGTAGGAATACTGAGATTTAAAGAACACACACAGTGGTCAGGACTAGGGATGAGCCGAGGCGAGGCAGGGCACAGAACGGTGCCTTTAATCCCTGATACTTTCTCAACAAGATCCAGAGTTTTCACTTCAAGAGTCAGACATGTGCAGAGCAGAGTCTCCGTGACGCTGCACACACACCATTGCCGAACAGCCCCCACAGACACACGTGTGCACAGCTGGACACACACACTGGGGACCACACTGGGTGTGCACACATGTTCAGGCATGCACAAACAGGTGCATCAAGACCAGTTTGGGGTGCACACACAAGATGCCCCCCACAGCTCACCCCATTGGGTGGGGACATTGTCTCTGGGGAGACGGAGGAAGCAGATCCTGGACCAGGCAAGGAGGGCTGGCTTCATCCCACCACCTCTACCCTCTAGGATCCAGGAAGGTCCCCCAATTACCAGGGTCATACAATTTGGAGTGTCTATTTCATAAGACAGTCTGGGAAACTGAGGTCCAAAGAAGAGATGGTCTGCACAGGGTCTCTGAGAGGCCACAGCAGGGGACAAATGGGGGGAGAGGAGGGAAAATGACTAGTCTAGAGGGAGGCACCAGGTCTGAGGAAGGAGTTGGAGAGAGGCCACCGGCAAAGCAGGGATCCTTGGGTACCTGTTAAGGCTGGGAGCCCTGCCCAGCTGAGCTAGGGAATCACTGACCACCAGCCCTCTACTGCCCCCCTGTGGCCGCTGCGGAGAACTGCCGCACAGGCCCGCAGATTGGCCTTCCCTGAAAAGAAATGCCCTTGAGTGGGACAGGAGACTAGCCCCCAGAGTACAGGGAGCCCACCCAGAAGCCTGAGGCTCCCTATGGCCTCTCTACTGTGCCTTTCCCCTGACATGGACGCCCTGGGCTCGTCCTACTTGGCCAATGCCCATCTATAAATACATGCACACACACACACCCAACACCAGCAGGTGAAATGAACATGGATGACTGAGATGAAACTGGAAAAGCCAACAAAGTGTAACAAGACCCAGATGGCTGGGCAGGTTGATATTGTCATGGTGGGAGTCACACTGCAGGAGCCAGGCTACTAGGTGAGGGACAGCGAGAGGCCACCACATGGCTGTGGTATCAGGGCTATGCAGGAAGGGCCCCTGAAACAAACAGGACCAGGGGTCCCCTGAGGGCACTCTGGAATGTGGGCGATAACCTCATGCTTGGGTCCTGTCTCTGGTGGCATCTGACAGAGTTCAGCATCCTCTGCTTCAGAACTAGGAGCCTGCTCAGCCAGCCAGGGTCCCACCCACCCCCACTGGGCAGTGGACATACCTGGGCACACAGAGGAATGGGTCAGGTGGTGCGGGCAGCCCCTGGACGTCAAGCAGGAAGTCAGTTGCCAAAGCAGGTGTGGAGGGCTGTGGGAAGGGCAGACATGCAGATTGAAGGCTCCCAGGTCCAAACCCAACCAAAGTCACGGCTACACCCCAACTCTGACTTGCTCCTGAGATGACTAGGCAGGAAGATAGGCATATAGACACAGGACCTATATGTACATACATGTACTCACACAGGGACACAGACTTCAGTGGCACAAATGCAGAGAAACAAAGAGTACGTATGTGCAGATATGTCCTCACAGACACAAGGACATGCAGACACAAGGACACACATGCAAAGATAGACTACTCAGGCAGAGATAACATGTGTGTGTACTCACATCAACATGGGGCACACCACGTATGCAGACACATGGAGACACACTACAAATGCAGACACGGGAACACAACACAGATGAAGACATTATCACACATGCAGACACAGAGACACATCACACAGACACAGGGACACACACTAGTGTCCTTCCTCAAGGGCCCTAACCTTCATACTGACCAAGGACCCTTGAGAATGTCATCCTTCCCCTCCCAGGATAACCCTCTCACCTTCTCCAAACCATGGAGCGAAGCCAGCATCAATGACTCCCGAGGGACAAGGGACCAGGAAGCTGACTGGTCCCAGGGGTTCAGGGGGGACCAAAGCTCACATAGGGGAACAAAAGGGGTACCACCACTACCCAGTCAGAACTGGGGTTCCTTACAGCCTGGGGTACAGAGCAGGTGGTCTTCCCAGGAGCGCAGGAGGAAGAGGGATGGCGGAGTCAGGAAGTGGTACGGAAAACTGAGCAGGTGGTCTGAGACATCACCCCCCACAAAGCTCAGTTAGGAATGTGAGCAGCATGAACCCACAGAGTGCCCAACACCTCCTCTACTCCCACCTGTTGAGGGGTCCAGGAGGAATGAAGGGTCAAGGGTGTCAGGATGTGGTATGGGGTTTCATTCATTTATGCCGTATCCAGAAGCTAAAACCAGGCGGTGCCCCCCACTTTCTGCCTGAACCCCTGAGCCCCCAACACTCACACAGAGGCAGGGACCCGGAGCTCTGGAGGGCCCCCGTCCTTCCTGCTGACAGTCAGGTGAGGAGACCAGAGATAGCAGCTGTGAGCCTGGGCCCTACCTGGCCAGACCAAGGTCAGAATCAAGGAAGGACCACCCCAAACGCCAAAACCGAACTTGCTGGTAACAGGAAGACCCAGCCCAGCAGACTGGCCAGCGGTCACCAGGGGCCTACTCTCGCTGCCCAGGCACCTAGTTCAAACCACATCCTCTGCCCAGACAGCAGGCAGTTCAAGGAGGAGGAAGGGGCCCACCCACCAGCCAGTCCCCCAGGCTGAGGGCTGAGTCCACTTTGAGGAGGCAGCAGGGTCCAGCCAACACAAATGGGCCTCTGGTGACCTGACCGCCTTCCTGTGGCTGCTCAACCCCTGCTGGCCCCTCACCCAATCAGACCCCACTGGGGAGGAGGGGTACTGCCACGACCCAGGCCCCACAAGGTGGTACCCCACGCACAGAGGAACATGGACTGTGAGGGACTATTTCCTCCCACCTAAACTCCACTCCGCAAACTCCAGGGAAGGGACCCTCAGCCACTGGGCAAGGTCACATGAAATCTATGGCCCTGCCCCTTTCTCCTGGAGCCACCTCAGCCACCCCAGAGTTCAGGGCTCCCCTCCTGCTCCCTCCAACCCTCAAGTATTGGCCACTGGAGGTTCTATTAGGACAGCAGGGGACGCCTCATCTCAGGCACTGCCCCCCTTCCACCCTCTTCACCCCACCTCCAGATGCGGAGACAGCTCCCTCCTTCAGGCTTCAGAGCCTATGGACCCAGGCAGCTGCTGGCAGTGACATTTCCAAACACCACCAGCCAGGTGTCCAGAGGGTCATTATGTGAGACTCAAGTTACCCTCCCGAGGCTGTGACGGCTGACACATCTTCTCCTCCATGCATGGGCACGTGTGCCCCCCACCCCACTCACAGCTTCTCTTCCACGCTGGGCACGTGCACCCCCCACCCCATTCACAGCTTCTCCTCCCTGTGTGGGCACGTGCGCCCCCACACCTGCGCCCACCCCACTCACAGCTTCTCCTCCATGCATGGGCATGTACACCCCCATACCTGTGCCCACCCACACGTGGCTCAGGTCACCAGGGACAGGGTCCTCTGGGCACCACAGGGGAGCGGGCAGCCGGCTCCAGAATGAGGGTGGGGATTTAGTAGGAGTGCCAGTGACCCTCCTGCCAGCCCTCATCTGGTCCTGGGTGTGGGTCTATGTGCGCAAGAACATGTATGTCCTTGGACACATACCAGTGTGAGAATACATCTGTCCACAGCCAGGGGGCTGGGCCCAGCTGGGAAGCAGGTCAGAGGGTGAAGGGTGGCAGTGAGGGATCCCCAGGGAAGAGCCCAAACCAGGGGAGTAACCCTACCCCCACCCCCACCAAACATCACACCCAAAGCCATGGAGGCCAGGGTCTG